GTCAGAGCAGAATTATTTACTCATGGTATCAGTCTCTTGGCAGGCCTCAGCACATTAAGCAAAGGGAAATTGCTTGCAAGCTGCCAAAATTCAGAAATCCATTTCATTAACAAGTTTACTGTACATTTGGCAGCTTCCTGCAAAATTGATTATTTTCTTAGTAAACCTTAACGTACAGTGGTGAACGTCAAGATAGAGAGAATCACAGACCACAGAAGCAAATTCATCAACTGTATACCACTGATTATTTGTATGAGTGGTTATTTTTGCAAAGATTTTCGTGTTTCTTCTCGTCAAAATAAATACAAAAATATGATTCTTAAAGGTCATATGATAAATTATAGAAGAAGTGAATATAACAATGTGCTAAATTGTAAAATAGATGCTGCATTACAGATTACCCAATATATTACAGATTAAAATCACATTCCAGAGTTTTTATTGCATTACAAATTACATTTGTATTACACATTACACAATACCTTACAGATTGTATTACCACATATATGTTGCATTGCTGATTACATGATTTATCACGGATTACAAATTGTTGTGGAATACATGTCATATGTAGAATGTGCCACATTCTAAAATCAATGTTAATTATAGAAGACATGTAACATTTACGGTCACATTAGAGAATACATGTTACATCACACAATACATACTATATTCAAAGTTATGGAATGCTTCCACAAAAGACACCAGAGATCTACCATGAGAATTTGATAGTAGGACAAAATCACAAATAATCAGGTCCTTCATTATATCTCAGAAGCTGGAGACCACCCTTTAGAAAATTCAGCTTAGATGCGCTAAGCGTTCTGCATGGATCTCTGTGAGGAACTGACTCAGGGTAGAAGATGTCGAGATCATCAGGACAAAACAACACAGAGTTTCCCTAGAACAATCACCTTACAAATCTCAGGCTTACAGACCACCACTCCAGGGAAAACACTGCTGCTACCAGTCCATTTGGAGGCAAGAAGTGAAACTTGGTTCAGCAATGTTTCAAGGAGAAACTGACAAAATCCGACTGGCCCAGAGGAAGGCTAATAGTAGCAGGTGTAGTGGCTCTCCTGCTGTGGTATACAACAGCCATTTCGAGATACCACTACTACAGAACTAACATTACAAGCATAGCCTGGGTGACACACTTGGTAAAAGTCCACCACAGTCTCTCTCCGAATCTCAGTTGGCATGAAAATTTATAATCTTAGTTACCACATTTCATCACAACATTTTTACAGTTCACTTGTCATCAACTATCTCAGCCCTTGTATTGCAGATCCTTATCAATAAATATGACAACTTCTCTGCAAATATCCTTTTCATTTTCTAAATAGCCTGTGAAATACTGTAGGTTTAGCACCCTCCAATTAAGAGTCTAAAGATGACCATGAAACTTCTGTGATTATTGGAAAAACCTGTCTGTGTTCATTAATGTCCTTTAGGGAAGGAAATCTGCAGAACTTACCTGGTTTGGCCTACGTGTGCCTCCAGACCCACAACAATGTGCTTGACTCTCAACTGGCCTGTGAGAAATTGGGATTGTAGTTAAATACCATGCCAACCACCCCACCCATACATTAGCACCATTGTCTGCTCCCTTGTTGCCTTTGCTATGTTATGCATCCTTGTCAAGGTCCTTCCTTAGGCAAACTTTCACTTTAATACTCAGACAGGTCCCCATAGAATTGGCTTAATTTCCTATCAAACTTAGAAAAAGTACATGGAGATAACATTTATCTATTTCAAACCATTCAAGTACATTTAAATTTCAAACATAGTTAAAATTGTCTCACTGCATTCCTCAAGGATCAACAATGGCGACATGAACTGCCAGTTCTACGGATATCCATGCTGATATTACATATATCACATCAGCCTCCTCTTGAAAGGATCCGCAGAAGATGAAGAAGTTAATTACAGTTTAGTTTTGAACAACGTGTTGTCTATCATGATAAAGAGATATATAACTACATTTCAGGATACTTTTTAAATTGAAACTGCATATTTATCGTAATATACATGCTGCATCACAGATTATATATTATCTTATAGATTATGTCACAATCCAGGTTATATGCTACAATGTAAAATAAATGTAGATTGCACATCTGATTACTTATAAAATTGCAGGACAGTTGCATTCCACCTGCCAGCTTCTCTAGACTATCACTATTTCCTGTTCATAAGTTTCCTTTCAAAGGTTCTTCTGCTTCTCTAGTGAATAAACTTATATGTAACTCAGAAATGTACATATATTTAGATGGTTTATGAGGCAATTTTTTCAGTATTAACCACAATGTTTTCAGGACCCATTTAAACATAAAATAACACAAGAATAAAGACTAGCAGAATCATTGAGTGACAGCATTCAGTCTCAATTTTGAAGTCTTTTATCCAGAGTTTATTTTTGATAAGTTGACTACAAATTCTCAATTCTACATTTTTAAGGGAAACTGCTTCTTTCAACAGGGCCTGCTACAAACGTATACACCTGTCAGTAGTGGATAGGTGTGCATGGCATTTCATTGGTGAAGATGGAGTGTCTTAACAACCATTGTAACACAGACCTAGGAATTTATAATTGGGAATATGACAGTAAGTGTGTAAGATGAAATTTTCACAATATATGCTGATTAATCTTTTAACTGCTGAAGCTTCTTACCAAAAGCAAAATAGTTCTGATGCTGGAAATCTGAAATAAAATGAAGTGCTGGAAACACTCATTAGTTCAGGGCAACACATGAAAAGAGAAATAAAGTTAATGCACTGGAAACTAAAAATGCTGGAAATCACAGCAGGGCAGACAGCATCTGTGGAGAGGGAGCAAGCCAACGTTTCAAGTTAAGATGACACTTCATCAGAGCTGATGGTAAGTCAGCTAGACTTGAAACGTTAGCTTGCTGTCTCTCCACGGATGTTGCCTGGCTCGCTGTGATTTCCAGCATTTTTTGTTTTCAGTACAGATTCCAGCATCTGCAGTAGTTTGCTCCAACAAAGTTAAATGTTTCAGGTCTGTTAACATTCATTGTTTATCCCTTTTTTTTGGTTTTTATTTAATTTTCTATGGCAGGAATTATAAAAAAAAATCTGGAATTAAGGATCTAATGATGACCGTGAATCCATTGTAAATTGTTGGAAAAACCTGTCTGATTCACTAATGTCCTTTCGGGAAGGAAACTGTCATCCTTACCTGGTCTGGCCTATATGTGACTCCAGACCCACAGCAGTGTGGTTGACTCTGAACTGCCCTCTGGGCAATTAGGGATGGACAATAAATGCTGCCCTCAACACGTTAATGAATAGAAACAGGTATGATTTCAAATATTTCTAACAAGCATCCAGTGAAAACAGGAGGTGTATTAATGAGTGCTGTCGAGGGAAACTAGGGCAGAAGGAACAGCGCCATAGAACTTCCTGTAGTAGAACATGGAACTGCACCAGTGTCTCCTGCAGCGGGCATGGAACAGTGTCTATCTCTCTGTGGTTCATCACCACGATGTGTTGCAAAGCTTGAATTTTCTAAGAATCTTGAATACAGGATGGCCTGATTTATGAATGTCTGACTTACGAACTCTCATATTTACAAAATGTGATCCAAACAGGGAAGTAATTAAAAAGATTTACACAGAGGAACATTTCCTATAATTACAAATCACTATTTTTATCCTGTCCTGCATTGTGTTTCAATTTGTGTACAAATTGACTTTGCCACAAAGGGACTACCGAAGGGCAGGACGGTGACTTACAGCGCCAGGGACCCGGGTTCGATTCCAGCCTTGGGTGACTGTCTGTGTGGAGTTTGCACGTTCTCCCTGTGTCTGTGTGGGTTTTCTCCGGGTGCTCCAGTTTCCTCCTACAGTGCAAAGATGTGCAGGTTAGGTGGATTGGCCATGCTAAATTGCCCATTGTGTCTAGGGTGGGAAATGATGGATAGAGTAGCGGGTAGATCTGGGTGGGATACTTTTCAGAAGGTTAGTGTATATTTGATGGGCCAAATGGCCTGCTTCCATACTGTAGGGATTCTATGACCTGTAATGCTGTGAGTTGCTTTATGTTCCTGGTTATACCATCTAAGATGTGCTTTCAAAACAGCAGAACAAGTGAAGAAAGACCATCCTATAAATTGTGAAGGCGATGGATTATTGCCCAGGGAAGTTGGTTCCAGTTAATTTAATTTGACTATTCACCATACTCGGACCAAAAACCATCACTAATACATGGGCAACAATAGCACAGCAAGGAAACCAACTTATTATTTCATGAGATGTAGGTGTCACTGACAGGGCAAGGATTTATGCCTGTCCCTGGTTGCCCTTGAAAAGGTGAAGGTGGGCTGCTTTCTTCAAATGCTGCAGGCCATTGGTGTAGGTACACCCACAATGCCATTAGAGACAGACTTCCAGGATCGTGATCCAGCATCAGTGAAAGAATGGCGATATGTTTCCAAGTCAGGATGGAAAAGCACCTCCTGTGGCAAAATCTTGAGCTCCACCACTGAGCCACTGCTGGCTGGGTCTGCATCCTGCTCCACAGTGCCTCCTGTGGCTGGGTCTAGAACCATCCCCACTGAGTCTCCTGTGGCAGCAGCTGGGTCTCGGGCCTGTCTCACAGCACCTGCTGGGTGTGGAACTGGGACCACGTCTGTAAACTGCTCCACAGCACCTCAAGTGGCCAGACAAAGGACGTGCTCCACAATGCCTCCTTTGACTGGGTCTGGAAACCGCTTGAGGCGCCACCTGTGACCAGGTCTGGGACCTGACAAAAGCGCCTCGTCGGTCTGGGTCTGGAACCTGCTCCACTGCGCCTCCTGTGGCCGGGTCTGAGATGTGATATACAGCGCCTCCTGTGGTTGTCTATAGTACCTGCTCCGCTCCGCCTCCAATGGCCGGGCCTGGAATTGGCTCCACTGCGCCTCCAGTGGCCGCGTCTGAGACTTGCTCCACTTTTAAATATCACTGTCGGAGGCCGGTTGGCTGCGCGCGCACTCTGGCACTGACTCTCGCGAGAGCAGCTTCACTTGGAGTCGGCGGGTGGGGGAGGGGTGCGATTGCAGTCGGTGCGGACCGAGTAGGGAGAAGGGTGGCAGCGGCGCGATCGGCGGAACGGCCAGCAGCATTACTATGGCAACGGCCCAGGGCCCAGCCTGGCTCGGAGCCGCTGTGTCCGCCCTGCTTTGGCTTAGCCTCAGTTTGGCACCGGCCCGGGGACAGAATGGTGAGTGTCCGGGGGGGGGGAGGGAATGGGGGTTAATGGGACGGGACTCCATCCCCTACACCGCGTCCTGATCCTCCCTCTCACCCCCCCCCCCCCCCCGGAGGTAAGAGCGGGTCCTGTGTCCTCCTCTCTCCGCCCCCACCGTAAGAGCGGGTCCTGTGCCCCCCTCTAACCCCCCACCCCCCCGGAGGTAAGAAGGGGTTCCTGTGCTCTATCTCACCCCCTGAGGGTAAGAGGGGGTTCCTGTGCCCTCTCTCTCCTGTGCATTAGTAGTGTCCCCTGTCCCCAGATTGAGTGTGAGTGACTCTGTGGAAATCGGAGCACCCAAAGGAAACCCATGTAGACGCGGGGAGAATGTGCAAACTGCACACGGTTGCGCAAGGGTGGAATCAAACCTGGGCCCCTGGTGCTCTGAACAGCCGTGCTAACCACAGAGGCACTGTGCTGCTCCCAGCAGGTAATAGCAGATCCTGTGCCCTGTCTCTCCTGGGGGGTAAGTGCAGAGCCAGTGCTCCACCCTCACAATCTCTCCTACACCCTCAAATTCTAAGAGCCCACTTCTGCTCCTTTTTCCGAGTATATAAGAATAGGCCAGTGTGCCCCCTGTTTTCCCCCCCACTTTCTCACTTTCTCTCTTTCCCCCAACTCACTCACTCTTGGGGTGGGTGTCCTTGGTGGAACAGTGCCAGTGACCCCTCTTCCCCATGGGGTTAGAGTGGGACCTGTGCCCCCTCTCTTGTGGGTGTAAGAGCAGACCAGTGCCCTCACCCACAGGATGGGAGTAGAAATGGTGTCCTTTTGGGCTGGAACACTTCCAGTGTCCCCGCTCCTAAAGGTGTAAGAGCAGAACCTCTGCACCTCTTCCTACCTGAGGTAAAAGCAGGGTCTGTGCCTCGTCTCCCCTGAGGGTAAGAGTAAGGCTGGAGCTCTTGTTCCTACCTGCGGTAAGAGTGGGGCCTGACTTGTCTTTTCGAGGGGTGACGTTTGTAAGGGCAATACCTGTTCACTCACCCTTAGAGGTGGAAGGTGAGGAGAGGAGGAATAAAAGCAGAGTCTGGCCACTTTGACAGTGAAAGCCAGTTTCCATGGGGAACTTTGATGGGTGGTCATAAGAGGAAAAGGATTAAAGTATACCCTTGGTTACTGTTAAGTGTGTTCATTCAATTGCATTTTGAACTGCTTTCCTTAAATTTTCTAAACTGTATGCTTGATTTAAGTACATTTCAAATCATTCTAAATAGTTGTAAATTACACTTTTTTTTTGTGCAATGCCTATCTGTTAACGGTTAATACATGTTTGATATTATTTATGCATACCAGCTCAAACAAATGCAAACTCAGTGCTGTATTTGTACCAAAATCCTTCCCTTCCACCCCCATCTTTAATGACCCAACTGTTTTGTTTTTTTAAATTATCCTTCAGTACCACATGTTTCCGAAGGAGACAGTTTGTAATAACATGGTGTTTTTTAAATTTTTTTTTTTGTTTTGCTGTTGTTTTTCCATTTTGAGCTTGTCCTGCAGAATGTAGTGCCTGAGTTGTAAGTGATGAATGCAATACATTACTACAGGGAAGAAAGTCTCTCATAATTTCCCTTTTGGCATTCATTCATTGCTGCAATTGAGGGGACCAAAATTTGGGGACATTGAATGGTAGAAATTTCTTTCAGAAATGCTTTTGAGATAGCAGTAAATTTATGTCAAGTCAACAATTTTGGCTGCTTTTGTGCAGTTTAAGGAAAGGTAGCAAATACACTGGAAGTAATTGAATAAGACTGGTAGTAATTAAAAGAAACTACCTGTAAAAGATTTACCAGATATTTGTTCTGCATATGCATTATCCTTTAAATCATGGTGCAGACTCCCAGTTTAATCATCTTAAATGCAGTATATAAATTGAGAAAATTCTATAGGCTTATGCTGATGAGAGGAAGTGTGACAGATTCATTCCATTTCCACTACTTTCCTCCGTCTTGTCAGTATTGTCTGTCGGGCTTGAAGGGGATGTTAATTCATGTAATTCAGCATCTTCTCCAGGGAGACAGTGGAGGCAGTGCAAGGTCAAAGTGATCCTGAAAATTGGCAAGGATGTTTTGATCAAGGGATGTTGAGCCTGTATGTCTTACAGATGTCATCAAGGCTATTTATGTACAGTCTTCATGGGTGAAAAGAAAGAAATTGTGGAACATTGTTGAAAATCCTTTCATCTCCTGGAATAAAAACAAAATTTGACAGTCCCCATGAATCATTATGCCTAATTATAAATGGATAGCAATCTCTTTTGTGTTTAAAGGAGTTATGCAGAACATTTTTGTTTTAAAATTAATGAGCACCTCATAGTAAAGTTGTAAGATAAGTCTTCGTTTTTTAAAAATAAGTTCTTGCAATGCATGGGTTCTGACAAGGCAGGAATTTGTTACTCAAGGTAGTGGTGAGCTGACCCTTTAAACTCCTCTTGTCTGTGTGGGATAGAAATTACCACAGCACAGTTAGGCGGTATCCAATCTTAACATGTCACAATGAAAATTTGTCTAATTGAAATGTATAAGATTCCATGAGGCCAAATTGGATACACGGAGCTGTATCTCTTGGCTGGCATATTCTCAGGCTAAGACCATAAGATACAGGAGCAGTTTTAGGCCTATTGCCCCATTGATTCTGATCTGTCATTCTATCATGGTTGATGTCTTTCTCACTGCCATTTTCCTGTCTTTTCCCATAACCCTTGACCCCCTAACCAATCAAGATCCTATCAGTCTGTTTTAAATGCTCAATGACTTGGCCTCCCCAGCACTCTGCTGCAATGAGTTTCCTAGATTAATCATGCTCTGGTTGAAGAAATTCCACCTCCTCTTAGTTCTAAAGTATCATCCCTTCCCACTGTGCCCTCAAGTCCTAGTCTGTCCCACGAGCATCTTCTCCATGTCGACTCCATCCAGGCCTCTCAGTAATCTGTAAGTTTCAATCAGATCCTTCAAAAGTCCGAGTACAGGCCAAAAGTCCTTAATTGCTCCTCATGTGACAAGCCCTTCATCCTCAGAATCATTCTAGTAAACCTCCTCTGGACCCTCTTCAGTGCCAGCACATCCATCCTTCGGTTGGGGTCCAAAACTGCTTACAATATTCCAAACACAGTCTGACCAGAGCCCTTTATAGCCTCAGTAGTATATCTGATATTGTACTCTAGCCCTCTTGAAATGAATACTAACATTGCATTTGCCTTCCTGACTGCCAGCTGAATCTGCACGTTCACCTTAAGAGAATCGTGGACTCCCAAGTCTCTTTGTGCTTCAGATTTCCAAAACCATACCCGTTTAGAAAATAGTCTACAACTCCCCTCTTGTTGCCAAAGTGCATTACCTCACTTTTCCCACATTGTATTCCATCTGCCACTTCTTTGGCTGCTCTCCTAGCCTTTCCAAATTCTTCTGCAGCTTCTTCACTTCCTCAACACTACCTGCCCTCCACCTATCTTTGTGTCATCTGCAAGCTTAGCAACAGTTCCCACAGTTCCTTTGTCCTGATTGTTAATGTATATCGCGAGCAGTTGTAGTCCCAACACAGAGCCTTGCAGAACTCTACTAGTCACTGGCTGCCATTTTGAAAAAGATACTTTTATCCCTAATATCTGCCTTCTGCCAGTCAGCCAATCCTGTATCCATTACCAGTACCTTGCCCCTAACACCAAGGGCTCTTAACTTATTTAGCAGCTTCCTCTGTAGCACCTTGTCAAACACCTTCTGGAAATCCAAAAAGATTACGTCCACTTGCTCTCCATTGTCTATACTGCCTGTTACTGCCTCAAAGAATTCTAACAGATTTGTCGGGCATGCTGTCCTTTTGATGAAGCCATGCTGACCTTGCCTTGTTTTTCCATACACTCCAAGTAGTCCGTAATCTCAGATAACAAGGTGTAGAGCTGGATGAACACAGCAGGCCAAGCAGCATCAGAGGAGCAGGAAAGCTGACGTTTCGGGTCTGGACCCTTCTTCAGAAATGACCCTTCTTCTAGGCCCGAAACGTCAGCTTTCCTGCTCCTCTGCTGCTTGGCCTGCTGTGTTCATCCAGCTCTACACCTTGTTATCTAAGATTCTCCAGCATCTGCAGTTCCTACTATCTCAGTCTGTAATCTCATCCTTATCAATGTACTCTTAAAATCTTATCAACAACTGAGGTCAGGCTAACCGGCTTATAATTTCCTGTCTTCT